AAAAAATATAAGAACAACCAGTTAAGATTATTATTACTTGATGGGCTCGACATATCCAGAATTGATGGCTTATAAAAATCCCTGGAATCACAACCCATTTGTGATTTTGCAAAATAGTTCTCTAGCGCAATGTTACGAGAAAACATAACATATAAGATATATAAGCTGTAGCTTAGGGCTTCGAGCTCAAAGGGGCCTCAAAAATTTCTACAAAAAAAGAAGATTGAAGTCAAATTTTGAAATAAGGTTTTTTTTGTTTTTTTTTACAAACCAACAAAATATACTTTACTTTTCATTTTGTGTAGTATTTAATTAATATGTTTATATTAATTTTTTATAATTGACTTGACTTGACTAAAATTGTAAGGGGTTGGTAAGAGACCTCACACAGAGTTCAGTTTAAGGCTTTCATTTTCCCGGCTGTTATGTATACATAACAAGAGAATTTCATTTACGGCTGTTATATACTGTACATATTAGAATCGTCTCAAATTTGGCCCTTCGAGTGTTTTGAAAATCTACACGTTTTGAGGCCGCCTGAACCCAAATAAGTCGAAAAAGGCAAAAAAAATTAGCGGGGATTTTGTTTAATATCTCAGAATGGGGTAAATGTTAAGGAACGAAATTTGGCATGGTGGCTTGAATTTAAGGGGCATTAATGCTATTAAATTTTGGTGGTAACAGATCGAAAAGGCGAGAAGATACCAGATCTGTGTTTTCGGAAAAGTAAAACCTATGCCGCGGAGTTGTTTCGTTTTCCAGAAAATTACCAGAAATACAATATCTAACGAAATAAAATAAACTGAAAATGCCATTATTTGTTTGCTGTTTCCAAAATAAAAAGAATTTAATTGCAAATCTACATATCGTATAATGCACAACTGTATAATTAGTTATTACGCGGCATCTTTTTTAACACTTTCCGCCCTACTGGCACTGAAACCCCCTTTTTTTATATCAAAAAGCTTCTTAGGGCTTAGATCAGGCCTACAACTAAGCAGTCGGGGGTGATGACATATCCGGACGGACCACCCCGAAAAATTCTTGGGAGTTTTCAACTCGTTCGGATTCGATCTCGGGTTCCCCAAAGCGGTAGGCTGTTATGGTCTAATCTAAATATTTAATTATTTTGTAATATTTTTGTTATAATATCTAACATAACCTTGTTAAATATTAAAAATGTACTGTATATACAATTAATGGCGACTTCCAGAAAACTTTTTTAATGAAAAGTATTATTTATCAATTTGTCCATAGAATTTCTTGAAAACTGCATCTTAGAAAAATAATTTTCAGCAAAAATAAGGAAATATATGTCATATTGTACTTATATATTTACCAATCCAGGTGCTATTATTAGTAATTTTAAACAATTAGTTTAATGACATCATATGTATCGCAATCGTTTGTGATGTCACATATGATGTCACAATCGATTATCATCCTTGTTACGACAATATTCGAATAATTCTATAAATTATATGAATGTGGAATGTATTTTGTAGTATGCATATACTACAAAATACATTCCACATTCATATAAATACACTTTATCGTACACATGTATCGTATATTTTATATTGAACAATATGGCCGTTTCAAAAATATATTCGCATTCGAATATATTAAAAACTCGATATGAATTATTTAATTGTCATATTATTGTCATCAAATGGCAGTAAAGATTTTATTATTAAGTATGATGATAACTTTTATATTATTATTATAAAAGTCTTGTAAAAATGTGTTTTGATACAGCGATTGACGCGACACCAAACAGCTATTTTAGATTGTCGCAAATTGATACCCAAACTGTCAAAACACAAAATTTTTCATTAAAATATTCTAGTAAAGCATTTATATTATTTCTAAAATTAGAATTTATCTCTAAAATCTTATTATTATTTTATTTTTTACTTTCTTAATTAAATACATCTCATTTGTTAGTTTATGAAAGCGTAACCTAGCAACAGTAAAAAAATTGCCGTTTGGTGGCGCGTTAATCGAGATAGAACGTAATGTTCTTTTTTAAAATAAAATACATTATGAAAGAATAAACACTTAAATATTAAAATTTTAATCAAAATTCAGAGTCGGTAAATTTAGTGAATCCTTAAAATTGTGTAACAAAATTAAAATATTAAAAATTTGACTTTTCGCGCAATTTTGAGAGAACCACTTTAGTTCCATTTGAATACACTTCAGCTACTTGTCGCACGTTACAGGAGACATATCGATGACAATCACAAGGGAATAAATAATAACGGCATATAATGTTACAGAATAATAAATAAAATGAAAACTATGCACTTTTAGCTGTAAATGCTACATATCATATGAATTACCCAAAGTTATTTTGCCGACCGGATGGCAGAGCGGTTAAGGTGGCAGCCTACCACTCTGGGGACCCAGGATTGTTTTTTTTTATTTTTAACTCTTTCCTGTCCACAGAGCGGAGTTAAGAAAAACTCCAAATAGTTATGCTATTTCAAATAATAATAAGAAGAAATATGTAAAATTTCCTCTTATTATTATTATTACGAGCACATTTTGACTCCATGCCCCGCTACAGTTACGATCATTATGCATGGGGTGACCCACTATGGGATTGTCTTTGTTTTATTAAGTTATGGCAGCTCAATACTTGGGCGATCTGCCTTCTGGGAGGTCTTTTTAAGGGTAACTGGTTCCTATTCAGCGTTACAGACGTGGAGAAAACCAGAAAAACTCCACGTGGCCAGCCCGTCCTGGCAAGACACGAACCCACGATTGAACTCCCAGTGTTCAGGGAACGGAACCGCTTGGCCACTGGTGGGTCATGGGATTGGCCAGCAAGGATGAGATCTAACCAAAAAGCTTCAAACTTTGCATGGGAAGATGAAAATTGCATTTGTTAAAATTAATTTTCCAAATCTTCGATATGAATATCTACAACATTCAGTAGTTTATAAAAAAGCTTGGAATGTTTTTCATGTTGTTTGAATTATTTGCATGTAATATTAATTTAATTATTATTAATCTATGGTTTTTCTTTTTGCAATCTTTTAGAATGCCATTTTAGTTCCCTTTGAATATATGGGGCATCATCAGGTTCTTCACCCCTCCTTGCAATGGACTAAATCGATTAAATTTTTAAGATTAGTTCCAGAATAAATTTCGCTTTGTTTAATATTGAAACCGTACCTTTTTTATATTTCTTCTCCAACTCACGATATAGATACTCTGAGACACCAGACTATCTGTACATCTATTTACTTAATTCTGTATCTTGCTTACATTTATCCTGTCAATACAGGTTTCGGGTTCTTAACCCCTTCTCGGTTAAATAAAATACATAATGCTGTTACATTATTGTACAAACATTATTAAAATTTTCTAAAAATTTTTGACATACCTTGGTGTATAGTATCTTTATGTTGGAAAGTAAAAGTTATTAAGATATATGAAATGCTATATTATAATGTAAACAAAAAGGCTATCAAAAAATGTATATTTTAAATATATCTTCAGATTTTTAAAATATACAACTTGTGGATCTCAAATGTATCAGTGTAAATACTACTTATATGGTGATCCAAAAGTCAGTTAATCAAGATACATTAAAGAGCAATTAACAGTCTGTTTTGAACAACTGCACATTAATATTCATGATTCAGTGATTGCATTGGAAGTGTCTAAATCACAAACAACATGCAGTATTTGAACGTTTTTAATCATTAAAATAACTGGCTTTTCAGTCATATCAACATGCATTAAATTACATTTAGTATGCACCTCTTCACAGTTTACTACTGAAAAGAACTGCTATAATGCTGTAGTTAATAAACCAAATAAATTCAGTAATATTACATGCATTTGATCTAGTTAAAAATAAACAAATTAACCAACTTAAGCCATGTTTACTTACAGTATCACCTCTTCCTTCAATAAAATGAAGATATTTCTCCTTTCCTCAATCATATATTGAAAATTTAAATTATCTAAAGTGAAAACTGAAATATTTTACAGAAAATAAAATTATTATTTAAATTCTAAAACAAAATTGCTTCAATAATATATTTATTACCCAAAGTTCATTTTATTACTCCTCTCCATACATAAAAATATAAATATTTTCATTATACATTTGTGTGTATATAAAGTGTATCATCTACGTTATAACAATATATCAGTGCATCAATAAAAAGAAATTCTTATGTAAACACAACAATAAAGAAGTTACCACGCATTGCTTATTAATAATAAGAAAAGTATTAAGCTTGTATTTTTGAAGCTTATTGATTGAACTTAATTACAAGGTAGAATTTTCTACTAGTAAGATATAAATGTGAATTCTGTGATACTCCTTGTAAAAATGAACAATAGACGAAGGTCTGTAGTTCAAGCTGATAGCTAACACTACAGCTCAAGCTGTAGCACTATTTGTTCTCCAAAGCACAAAACTTGTATTTCTACTCTACAGCTCTTATTAATTACACAAAAATGTCAGATAATTCAATAAAATCAAAAGATAAAGCCTGTCAATTAAAGCATTTTGTAATATTCTTTCTATTACCCAAATATTAAATTTAAACACAATCATGTATCTTGTTCTATTAGTCTTTGACACATCTATCAAGTTATTTCATTGTACAACAGAAACAACAATGCATATTAATGGCAAGTTAGACAACTAGATAGTATATAAATTTCTTTGAAATTTTCTTAAGACATTGCATATTTTTTGTTTATGCAACAAATTATGGGACAGCATCCAGTTTGTAAATAAAAATTCATTTTAAATTTCTCTATGATTTGCATAGCCTATAAAGAAAGGTTGACTCCACCAATATGAATCACATTCCAGTGATTATGATATGGAGGATAAAGAGTACAGAATACTTTTATTTGTATTTTGTTAATGTTTTAAAGAAAAAAAAATTCTCTATGAGAAATTTCTTATTCTTACATATAATAAATACTAAATAAATTTTAGTTAATCCATTAATTTTTCAGATTAACTAATATATTATTTTCTTTTGCTTTCATTTATAAAAATTTTATATTATGATTTTTATTAATTATCAATAAATAAGATATTTTTAAAATCTCAAATAAATAGTTCTTAATTAAAATCCTACTTAAAAGCAACTTTCTTCAATAGCAAATACTGACTTTACAAGACATTTAAAAGTCGGCAAAAAATCGACTTTAAATTAAAAACTTATTATTTAAAAATAAATATATTATAAAAGGACAGGTCTACAGTTTTAATTATTGGCAGTATCCAAAGAATCCAGAGACTTAAACTGGATGCTGAGCTTTTTCATTATTTCTGCATGCTTGATTCCCTGATGAGCTTCTTTAACAATGCCATAATTTTCTTTTACAAAACGAGCAAATCCCGTCACAGGTTTAGAAGTGCTGACCATGTACCCAGATCCTCTATTTGTCATCAATTCAAAAGTTCTTCCGCAACGTCCACACAGCTTCCTTTTGATGTCTAACGATTTTGAGTGACGTCCGATGCTGTTAAAACAAAACTATTTCTTAGATTTTCATATTTTCATGACTGATTAAAAGAAATTTTTATTATGACAAATTTTCTAATTTTTTAAAAATTTTTCAGTAAATTTAATCCTTAATTTATTTTTAAATCTTTTTGTATAATTCAAAAATATTTTTTCTAAGATTAACAATGTTCAAATACGAGGCGTGCTTTTTAAAGTAAGTACCGTTTTGAAATATAAAAAAAACAAGCAAACATTTTTAACAAAATTTTTATTTATGTGAAAGCCCATATTTTACACTACTTTTCTACATAATTCCCATTAATATTGAGACACTTATCGTATCGTGGGACCAGCTTTTGTATTCCATCCTCAAAGAATGTTGCCGCCTGATGAGACAACCACTGCAGAACGGTCGTTTTGACTTCGTCGTGATTGTTATGGCGCTGCCCTGCCAGATGCTTCTTCAAATGCAGAAACAAATGATAGTCACTCGGCGCTAGGTCGGGACTGTATGGAGGGTGGTCTAATTGTTCCCAGCCAAATGATGTGATT